GTGCCTTACTAGTAGTAACAAGAAGCTAGTAGTAACAAGTGCATCGCTGCTAAGTGATGTCATTGGTGGAAAGTCAAGCTTTCCACGCTCGAATGACACGTCCATCCGTCCATCAGAACCCCCAACAGCTTCGGTCCATAGCGGCCATAGCGATCATACAAACGCTTGGGGGCCGGTTGCGAACAAACAAGGACTTTCGTTACATCATCAAAGCAAGAAGGCCTTCGTACTCCTTCATACTTGTCTATTGTTCAGAGTAAGGAGTTGTTGGAGTCCAAGACCTAAGGGCTGAAAGAAGGAAACAATTACTTTAAACAATAGAGCAACCAGGGGCAAAAAACAGCAGCGTTCAGTGCAAGGGATAGTTGTGCTATTTGCACCAAAGACGCTCCATGCAATTCGGGACGTTCTTGACGACACGGTTCGGTCGGGCCTGAAGATATAAACTTGGATATCTTTGGCTGATTGCGCAAGGTGGCAAGCTGCAGCTGGAGAGCAAAACCCTAGGCAGGGCGGACTTTTCTTGTGTCAAACATCCGTACTTTGGTTTTGCTTAAGATTTGTTCTCAGAACCAGTAGAGCATCAGCCGTGAGAACTTGTCTCTTGGTATCGACAAACGTTTCAAGAGACTAAAAACAACATGCTTCAAAGGTACCTAAGAGTGATGGCCTCCAACCTACTGGCGATGGCCTCCCTAAAAGCGTAACCGCCTTTTTCTGACCAGACTTAGCCTACCCAGCGGGATCTCCGCCATGGTCAGCTTCCAGCACTTGGCACAGTTTTCGAACGAGACAGATGACACGTTTTCGAAGGAGTCTGGTTGAAAGGGTCTTTGGATACTCAGAAGGACACTTGCAGCCTGCGCTTCTTCTTTTCAGCAACCTTCCAAGGAACCGCTTGAAGCACCTGGAGGCAAAGCACAACCTGATGCACTCGAAGCACACTTTGAAGGCATCGAAGGCATCGCTCTTCGATTTTGCTCGCGATCCTGCCTTGCTTGGTGAGGTTGGGATGCAACGTGCCCGCCCAGTGGGGGGGCTTGTTTGGCTCTCTTTTCGAAGGCTTGCGTTCCTTGCGTTTCTTCCTTCCTTTGGTGTTCGTCCGCGGTGTCCTTTGATTTGTTCGTTTTGAGCCCCGGTTCTTAGGTCGCATCCAACAAAGAGTGGAATCAACATTCCGAGAATGGAGGAGTGGTCGCATCCTGCGTCTTGTTTGGTAGGAGCAAGGACGCTACTAGGAGCAAAGGGCATCGCTACTAGGAGCAAGGACGCTACGAACGGGGCTCCTGGCCTTACTACTAGGAGCAAGGACGCTACCAGGGGCTCCTGGCCTTACTACTAGGAGCAAAGACGCTACCAGGGGCTCCTGGCCTTACTACTAGGAGCAAGGACGCTACCAGGGGCTCCTGGCCTTACTACTCAGACACACGAATTCTATAGAATTAGAATTCTATATTTTGGATGAAGGCCTTCGAAGAGGAATGAAGGCTTCACCCTCCCAGCCTTCGAAGTGCTCTGCTCCCAGTTTGGCACTTGCTCAGATGAAAGCTTTTGAAGAGGTAAACTAGGAGCGATGGCCTCCAACCTAATAGCGAGGTAAACGCACCTGTTACTACTAGTAAGGCACTTGTTCCTAATAGCTTCTTGTTACTAC